AAGATTAGCTTGCCGATTCGTACAGACGGAAGTGGTGAATAAATACAGAGAAGACGACGGGTTTTGCATTTGGCCATCTGAAACAATATAGGAGGCTGTTAAGCAAAATGTTGCAATTTAATGACTATCATTTGGGATTGGGGGGATTCGGGCTTGATTGCTTAAGAAATCTTGCTTGGACAGTTAGCTTACTGCATCAGTATTGGTGGATTCCATACGTACCGCGGGCTGGCCGGATAAATCCACCCAAGTGTGATTAAATTCACGGTTCCCGGTGAGCCTCATAGCTCGGTTGGCAGAGCATTGGCTGTATTAAAGCCTCCCCTTGTTGACGTGGGTTCGAGTTCCACCGAGAGCACGAATTTTTCACAATTGGGTTAGCTGAATTATTCAAACTCTGCCTTCTCTCCTGATTATCGCAGTTTTATGTTTGACTGATTTTTGTTTGCGCTACGTGTACGTTTCAGTCTTTTCATGAATCTGTGTCGTCCTTTTCTATTAGGGCTGACGTGTAAACCATACAACAACATTCACCTCGGTAACCTTCTACTTTCAAACCTCACGCCAACTAAGAAGACACTGTAAAGAGTAAGCATGTGGATAGCGCACTAAAGCCAGACAATCGAACGCGTCTGTACAAGTCTCATAATAAACGCACTGCTAAAAACCCACCTATGTAAGCGTAAAAACGGGCAATCAGTTCTTTCGAAACTATTTGTTTTGCCTTTTTATAGCACTTGACTGTGTTTCGCCTTAAACGCCAAAATTTTTGATCCACAAGCATTCTGGTGCCCTTTCAGGTCTCTTTTGAAATTCCGATGGCAATGACGGAAGAGGAAAATATGGTGAAACAGTTCTTTGAGGTTCGCACGGTTGCTCCGGGCTATGCCAAGCTCTATCTGCGACAGCCACTTGACCTGGATCAGGATGTGAGTGAAGTTCGGTCGCTGGGCAAACTCACGAGCGGACTAGGCGCACTGGATGGAGAGGACTTGTCGGTTCGACGCAGTCGTGACTACCACATCCGCATTCAGGCCACCGACAATGGCAGCCCCAGACGTCAGTCCGCCGATGCCTACGTCACCGTGCGTGTCTTGGACGTGAACGATATGGTACCCCGAATATCCATCAGCTACATCAACACTGCCACCCTGACGAATCCACAACAAGCTGGGGGCCTATCAGCACTACCACCGG